GGTCAATGGTCTAACCGCTAAGACATGCAAAACATAAGAGTACGCCCCCCCCCCCCTGTGCCAAGATTCCCCCCCCGGTGTTTACCATCGGGGTTGGGTTCTTGTCGCTTGGCAACGACGTTGTATAACAAGCCAAATCACTTCGTGAGCTCGGCAACCAGGTTACCGTTTTTTCTTTTTACCTCTTTTTTTTTTGGCGGTAACCGTAGTGGTGGTCGAATAGATCATGTTGTGCGGGGTCGAGAACCCTCACTTCGCGCAAGGGGGATGATCGCACCACGTTGTGTTAAAATGGTCAAGCACCCTCGAGGCAGCTACACAGAGCTTACAACTGTCTCTGAAAGTGAAAGCACCAGAAAATAAATTAATTCATACGCAGCTGTCATCCGTACGCAAGGAAGTAAGCACAAGATGCCGAACACCCTTAGCAGGATGCAGCGCACCCTTCATGCGACTCGCCGAATATCTCACGACGCTTCGCGCTTCGTGATGTGAAAGCCTGGCCCGGTTAGAACCCGGCGTGCTCCGTCCCGGCAATGTAGGGATTCGAGGTCGATGGTCTAACGACTACGGCATGCACGACTATGAGTACACCCCCCACCTTAGCAAAATGCTCGAGAGGTTTGTGGTCGGTAAAAATGCGAAATCTCGTACCCCACAAGTAACCGCGAAGGCGCTTGATACACCACACGATGCCACTGCCTCGAGATCGAGGGTAGTCCTGTGGCGTTCTGTGTCCGAAGTAGCCCGACTGATGAAGGCAATTGGGCGAATGGAACCATCTGGCTGTTCTTGTTCGAGAGTCCCACTAAACCCATCGCGACTAGCATCACAGTAAAGATGAAAAGGTCGCGAGCCGTCTGAAACGGCATCCCAATCTGGATAAACCAAAACAGGGGAATTGGCCAACTCAGCTGATAAAACGCGAACGGCTTGCTCCATGGAAGGGGTGTCAATAAACTTCTCCTGCTTCTTGAGTAGAGTAGTCAGAGGTCGAATGCGTTTAGCCATGTTGGGGAGGAACTTACAGTAGTAGCTGAGACCACCGAGAGGGAGCGTACTTGCTTGACATCCCTGGGCATAGGCATTTTGGTGAGGGCCGAAACCTTGACACCGTTAGGCCCAACGCCGTCAGGGGAGATGGTGTGTCCGAGGAAGTCTGCTTCAGTAGCGCCAATAGTAGCTTTCGGAGGCGTGAGTTTCAAGTTGTGCGTACGCAAGCGTTCAAAGAGTGCGCGCATGGTACCAACATGAGTAGCAGGGGTGTCATCAAAGATGATTAAATCATCCAAGTACGATGCAACACCGCGGAGAGTTCTGATGACTTCGTTGACAACTTTGCAAAACCACCCAGGGGCAGCCGAACTGCCTTGAGGCATCTCAACCACTCGAAAAGCCCGGAAGACGTCACGAATGCCGTCGAAGGGATTGTATCGCGGTGCACCGTGATTTGGTGGAACGAAGATTTCATGTCGAAAAGGGAATAAATTTGCCCTTTCAACAACTTGTCCAAAGTATCATCGACTCTAGGAATCGGAAGCTGACTCAAAGCACAAAGCTTGTTGAGCTTGCAACGATCGACGGTGATGCGAACACCACCAGATTTCTTCGGTATGACTACCAAAGGGCTCGAGTGAGGCGAGGTCGAATGTTGGATCAAACCTGCGGCAAGATATTGGTCAAGGATCGCGTCAACTTGTTTCACCACCGGGGGATTAACGCGGTAGGGGCGAGAGGTGACGGGTGCGCTGCCAGGAGCTGCAAGCTTAAAAGGAAAAAGCGAACAAGATCCAAAGTCGGTCGGAGAACTCGAAAACACATCATGGTATTCGCACAAAACGTTACCAAGCTGAGTAATGACATCGGGAGCCCAACCCGGGCCGTGGAGATTAAAAGTAATCTCACGGAGATGGCAGGGGAGCTTATCCCAGGCTTGGGAGAAACTTTGACGCTGCCATCCGTTGCGGACAGATCGTGAGCACATGCAGTGGCACCACAAGTGTCATGTTGGGCTAAAGTAAGCTCACCGAAGACACAGTCACCAGGACGTTTCGCACGCAAAGTACGGTAAGAACGGTCACTAAACCGCATCCAACTATCTCTGCCGAGGACGTATGCCCAAACAGCAAGAAAGGAAGTAGGAAGGTTCTTACGGAGAAACTGAACACTCAAACGAACAATGGTCGAAGTTTGAAGCGGCGCAGATTTCCCAAAACCACCCCAACAGCGAGATTGGGTGTGTTTCTCAGACATCGTTGAAGCAGCCGAAGCGGCTTTCATGGATTCCCATTCAGAAGCACTAATAAAAGACTGCGGATAACCCGTATTCAAAAGAGCGATACACCCAAACTGCACAGAGGCCGAACCACTGTGGAGGAGGATTCTGGTGGTGAAAGAGTCGTTATTGATGGTGACAACACCACCAACCAAATCCGGACCTTGCTCTGGGAGCGAGGAGGAGGACGACGGGATGTATTCTGACGACAAGGCCCAACAGGCGGTGTCGTGATCCGACGGGACATTCGGAGCGTATTGTGAAAATGACGCGAACCGGTCGGTCGATGGAGGGCACGAAGTCGTCCGAAGGCGCTGGTATGTGGAAGGGTTAACTTCATACACCGCAGAATGAAGGGACGACGTTGGAACGTGGTCGGTCGGAGGCAGCAAACGAGAGCTGCGCTCGGGAGGCGGGGCACGGGGTCTTAAAAGGCTGCGTACGTTCTGTAGGGCGGTGCCTAACAGGTTGAGGCCGCGCCATCTAGATGTGCATCCAGCGTCAGGATGATCGGTCCGGAGGCCAATGCCCCAAACACGGTCGTAAGGACTGGCTTCGGCAAGAATTTTGTCACCAGATCCGAGGAGATGATTTCGTCACTCGGAATTTTGACTAAATATTGCGTAAGAGCCAGTGAGCACAATGTTTTCGCGTTCTTGTTCAAAAAGAGATTGGTCGAAACCACGGACCTCACGGCCAAAGTTTTTGTGTAAGTCAGGGTCTGAAACTCGCATGATGTTCTGCAAAGCACAGCGATCTCCGAAAAGACGGGCTTTTTTTGCAGCGAAAAATTGTTCGGCACAAGAGTAAACAACGCCATCGACCGTGAAGGTCGACGGTGTCCATCGGGAAAAAGGGGAGGGCGGCTTCCAAAAGAAAACCATGTCTGGAATACAATACTCGGTGGACGGGTCGAAAATGGCCGAAGCAACAGAGGCCGGAGCGCCCTGAGTGCTGTTAGTCGAAGCTGGAGTCGCAGCTGAAGATGCGGAGTCATGATGGACAGTATGCACATCCATGGGGGTGGTCCTTGTAACAGCGGGAACCGACGAAGAATCGACTTGAGTCGGATTGTTCGTATTTGGGCCAGCAACACTGGGCTGGGTGCACCCTAATTCTGAACCTGAAGAAACGCCTCGTAAGGTTTTCGTTAACAGGTCGCTTTCGCTGGGAACGGCTGCCAAAGCCGGGTTAGTTGAAGAACTGAACCGAGCATGGCGCTCCTGGCTATTCCCCCGTGACAAGGTACGCGAGACCGCCGGCTGTTCGGAGGTCACTTCGGGGGCGTCCTCCCGAAGCGGTGGTGTCAACACTGTCGACGTCGGTCGCAGCAGCCTAGCAGTGAGTGCCGTTGTGCGAGCGTGGGTCGGAGAAGGTGGGGCTTGTAAAGACCACCCACGGTCGAAATGTCGCGTGGCGGAATCTGAGGATGTCCGGTGGTCGGAACCAGGGGGACAAGGCGATTCGAAGCCAGACGAATTTGACCCTAAAACTTGCCGGTCGGAACCAGTCAAGTTAGCTATCGGTGCAACAGTCGAAGGCGGACCTTCAACGGAAGCGAGCATAGACGAATTGAGCGTATCCGAAGAAGCACCTGAGGCAATCAATTCGGGCAATTCTTCATCAATCGTCCAAAGGTCATGGCTACTGCCGATCCTATCTGCAGACGACGGGGGGAGCGAACGAGAGGTGCTCGACGAACGAGGAGAACTCTTTGGCCCCGAAGGTCCAACGGGTCTGTTCCCACACCTCAAGACAGCACTCACGTCAGACTGATTAGTTTCCGACGAAGCAGCAATCCGACGAGGCGAGGGTGCAGAGGTTGCAGACGATAAGTACGATGGCGAAGGTGGGATGTGAGCATTTGGCTGAAGACCGACCTGATCGACACTTGAAGAAACAGCGTGTACCTGAGTACCGCTGTCATTGGATAGCACCGAAGTGCGAAAGCGCGTAGGGAGAACATTTACTGAAGTATTGTTGTGGTTGCTTAGGACCGAAGTGCTAGAGGCAACAGAGCGCGCAGGGAGAACATGTGCCGAAGTATTGTTGTCGTTGCTTTAGACCGGAGTGCTGGAGGCAACTGAGGGTGACACACGCGTGTCTTGTGCTGAGCGAGACGAAGTTTCGGAAAATGCTGGAGGCAGTCGGAGGGAAGGAGCCGAACCACCGTCGGGGAGTCATCCGGTACGTGAACGGCCGCCATTGTGGAAGTTGCCAGGCTGGCGTGCGTTGTGATTGTTCGAAACCATGACGCCGGGCGAGGGACCAGTGTGAGCATGCGATTGGGGTTGATAGACGAACAGAGCACCAGGGTGGTGGGTGTTGCCAGACGTCTGTTGTGTATGATGATGGTTATCCGCGAAATGTCCCGCGGTTTGACCACCATGGTGTGATTGTTGGTGGTGATTGTGAGAGGAACTACCACCGTCGGAACGGCAAGGCCCAGCGTGGTTTCTACGCTGAGAGGAGGAGGAAGAAGACTGCCGGTGGCGTCTACCCTGATTGGTGTTGCGGTCATCTGAACCCTTACGCCTTAAGGATCGCATGCGACCTTGCCAAAGCCAAAAAGCAGCAGAGTCGTCATTGAGGTGACCCAATTCGGGATTTAACACATCACTAGAATTCGTGAAGGGAGAAGCACGTTGCTTCATGGAATGGTCATCACCCGAGTAGTTCAGACAGTGGTTTCTGTTTTCGCGGAAGGCTTGCGAACGAGCCTCTTGTGTCAACAAAGGAGTCCATAAAAAGGATCATCGGTGTTACGAAAATTGGCAGTGAGGGCGTACACATGAGACTAGTCGGCATGCGAAGCAGGCCACGAGTTGTAGTTGTGCGTGAAAGGATCCGCGGCTTGAGGTTGCACGGGAAAAACTACAGGGTTCTGTGCGGAGCCGGATGCCCACTGACCCGAAGACGCAGGGGCGCGGTGGTTAGACCGCTGAGGCTGCAGAGAGCCACGCGTCGGAGTCAACGAAAAATAAGATGAGCCATCGATAGCCGGGGTTTTATTAGTCGCCAAAGGCGCGAACGCCTCCCACATAACCGCAATCGACTCAAAGGGAGTGACCGTAGTGGCCAAAACACCAGGGTTCAAAAGCGGAGACAGACCCGGAAATCGCTTGTCGACCGAGTTACGCACTATTTCGAGAACCATGGATACACTAGGGGCCAAAGTACGCTCAGAGCTAGTTACAGACGAAACTATCAAACCGAAAGCCCGACGATAATCCGCGAAAGAAGCACCATCTGCTACGCCAAATTGTTGCAGCCGCAAATACGACTCTTGGCGGTCTCCGACGTCAAATTGCTCCGCCAGGTGACGCAACAATAGCTGGAAAGCGTCTGGTCCAGGGGCTCCTTCATCCAAGCTCCGTTTCACTTGCTGAAAGAAATCAGTAACGGCAAGGACGAGATCGGCGGTAGAAGGCTTGTCGGGGGTGATCGCACAAAAGATTTTTTTCGAGAGGACGTTCCCATCCACGCACAAAATCGGCGCCTGTCAAACCTTCACTCTGCTCCTCACGCAACAGAAAAATATCGGAGAAAGCCGTTCTTGTGGTGCAAATAAGCTGCCGATAACCATCTCCCGGCAACAGAGTAGCGGGGAAGGGCATGGTAGCGACATTCTCAACTTTTTCAAGTTGAGGGTGATGTACGCTCGTTGTACGGTAGCTACATGAGCAAACGAGCAGCTGCATCAGTCGCATCGATCGATGCTTGACGAGTGTGTGCTGTGTTAGAAAAATGTGGCAAAGCAAGATCATCGGAGACAGCAGGGAGTGCGGCGACGGCTACCGAAGCAGCTGTGGGGGCATGGTCTGAAGGCAACATGCTACGCAAAAAAACGGCACTGGTGGATCAAACGCCGAAGGGTGGTTGAGGTTCGAAAACCCAGGGTTCTGCATCATTCGTGGATCTACAGCATGGCGAGCGGTAGAAAGGCGACGGGGTGCAGAGGTTTCCCAAGAAACAGGGGTGGTCGAAACCGGGGGTGAGTTCGAAAACTCAACGCGACGTACATGTCCGGAGTTACAGCATTGAATGCGGCAGAGCGGACAGAAGGTGCAAAGGGTTCCACAGAAACAGGGAAATCTAAACGCGGGGGAAGGTCCAAAAACGCAACACGACTCAAACGCCCTGAGTCCGAGGAAACAGGGGGGGGCGAAACTGTACCAACAACCGAAGTCGAGGGGGGGGGCCGAAGCCTGTGAAAAAACATCATCATATAACAAAGAAAACGATCACTCAAAGTCGCATCCATAAGGGACGGGACTACTTGCCTGGAAGAAGGACCCTTCCGAGCGCCGTGCTTCCGGGTGAGACTCCGGTCTGAACCAGAGCCCGATCCGCCTCCCCTGCCACGAGTCACGCTCGTGTGGCGCTTGGCCTGCTGCCGTGCCCGGCCATTGCTCGCCAATGAAGATGGCTCCGCGGGGGGGCGAGACGCTCCCGCAGAACTCCAGCCCGAGTCCTCGCCCGAGCTACTCTCTCGCACGATGCGCTGGACCGGCTTGGCCTTGACGANGCCCGATCCGCCTCCCCTGCCACGAGTCACGCTCGTGTGGCGCTTGGCCTGCTGCCGTGCCCGGCCATTGCTCGCCAATGAAGATGGCTCCGCGGGGGGGCGAGACGCTCCCGCAGAACTCCAGCCCGAGTCCTCGCCCGAGCTACTCTCTCGCACGATGGGCTGGACCGGCTTGGTCTTGACGAGGCCGGCCTTGGGCTGCTGGAACGCCGAAGCTGCCGGAGTCGCCACGGCGCAGCCGGGCCACACCACCGGAGACGTTGCGTTCATGGTGGCCGCCCGCATCGCCACCAGGAGTCAGGTCGTCACATCGTGGAGGTCGGGCCGAGACCCGTTGGCCGCATCAGCGGCGTCCTGTATGGAGGCAGCCGACGGCAGGTAGCGAAATAGCAGGTTACAGTCGACACTGCAGCAGTAACCGAGGTTACAGCTAGAAACGCCGAAGCAGCAACTAGCATTGGGGTTGGTTGTCGAAACAACAGGTAAGAGATCCGCGGTGTGAGCACGGCGGGCTGTCGAAACTGTGGGCATAGTCTAAACAAGTGGCATGGAAACCGCGGTGTGAGCACGGCGAGCAGTCGAAACTTGCTGTCACAGGCGTGAGCCGAAGTTACAGCACGTGTCCAGTGGGGTGGGTGACCGAACTCATAAAATAAGCCGTACGCAGAAGGTTAGCGCCGTTTACGAGCAGTCGAAACTGCAGGCACAGACGGTGTGAGCCGAAGCTACATCACGTGTCCGGGTTAGGTGACCGAAGTCATAATCAACCGGTTAGTTTCGACTACTCTTGATGTTTATATTCAAATAGTCTAATAATGTGGTTACGCACTTGCGACAAATGTAATAGAAATACCATGGGATACACCACCCGCTCGATAATTTGGTCCTAAGAAGGAAATTGTGGGGGAAGGAAAGAGAACGAATATCCACACAGCCAGCAGCAGAGCTGTACGGTGCTCACCCCGGAAGGTGAGTGCGGCGACAAGAGATACTGCTACTTGCATGATCAACGGAGCGTCAACGCCAAGTTTTGCCCAACAAAAGCGGGAAAAAAAAAACGGTGCAAGTAGATAGACTAGTCTACACAACAAGGTAAATGTTCTCCCGCGCCGCACATGCCCCTGTACATCACGCACAAAAATAAGTTGACGACGAAAATATACACACCCCGAGATGCGATTGCTCCGCAACCACATCAGGATGCTATTATAGAACACCCGACACACCGAGTTCCCCTAAATCTTCCGTCTACAACTTCCCAACATAACACGCAGATAGATACACAAGATGGCTACCAAACTGCCTTGTTGAGCCTGTTACCCACAGGGGAGTTATTGTTGTATGCTTCTCTGGGAAAACGTCGACATACGGGTAGCCTTTCGCTCACGCTATGGATTCATTGCTAATCTATCTAGACTTTTTTCTATAGATAAAGATGGATTTGTGGTGAAAAAAAAAAAAACATCAAACGCCACGAAGGCGAAAAAAAAAACAGCCGAANTGTAGCACGGTTGCCCCCGTGTTGATCAAGCGAGAACCCACTCGCAGAACAACTTGGCCCGGACAATTCCCAGCGCACAGCGCACCCACCCCGGGATAGGCCTGTCCTCCATCGGCCGTTTTGCTTGTATGACGGAGAATAAGAAGGTGGAATTACTTGAAATTAGTATGGAAATAAAGTTTGTGTATCTAAATCGAAAATAAAACGGCCGATGGAGGACAGGCCTAGAAGCTGCGAAGAGAGCCAAGCTCAACAGTCGAAGCTGTCAAACAAACCGAACCTGGCGAACGAGCCGAAGCTCAAANTTTGTGTATCTAAATCGAAAATAAAACGGCCGATGGAGGACAGGCCTAGAAGCTGCGAAGAGAGCCAAGCTCAACAGTCGAAGCTGTCAAACAAACCGAACCTGGCGAACGAGCCGAAGCTCAAAAGCCAAGCTACTGCTGTAGCAAACGAGCCGAAGCTCAAACGACGGCAGCGGCTACAGCGGAGAGCCGGGGCTCAACAACTGTTGGTGTGTCTGGAACCGAAGTTCCCAAACGAGACAGATGTGTGCAATGGTACAGACTAGTCTAGACTAGTCGAGCAGAGACATGCTGAGGCGAACCTCTCTCGCCGGCATGCAGCACGAAGCTCAGACGGGCGGGCCAAGGTCATGAAAGGGTCAGCCACTCGAGTGCTACAGGCGGGGAAATGGGCATATACAACCATCACGGTCGGGAGCGTAGAAATTGCAAGGCAGCAACAAAATGAAGCTGGAAGTAGTCGAAACTATAGAAACAGGTGCATCACGACCAAGGGAAGCAGCCACGGCAGTCGAAACGACAGGAACAGATGCAACGGGGGCAGTTGAAACTGCTGAGACTNATACAACCATCACGGTCGGGAGCGTAGAAATTGCAAGGCAGCAACAAAATGAAGCTGGAAGTAGTCGAAACTATAGAAACAGGTGCATCACGACCAAGGGAAGCAGCCACGGCAGTCGAAACGACAGGAACAGATGCAACGGGGGCAGTTGAAACTGCTGAGACTGTTGCATTGGAAGCGGTCGGAACCGCAAAGGCAGTCGAAACCACCGGAACAGATGCATGTGAAGCAGTCAAATCCAAAGGCACACTGATGCCACTGAAACGGATGCACGACGGTCATGAAGCCATTGGGCACGAGCGGCGGCTTGTGTGCGACTGATGCGCGACGAAAAAGGAGGGATGGCCGGCACAGTGTAATCGAAATGCGGCCAACAACAGAGCCATGAGGCAAGCGTGGCACTACAGAGCCAGTATTGTCAAAGCCAATGTCTGCCCGAACAGCAGAAGGCTCAGCGGCGGTGGAGGTGAGAGGAAAAGTGGAATCAGCAACATGTGGTTCCGGCGGGAAAACTTGGGACACACGGTTCGTGTGTTTGGATATGGACTGGTTAGATCTACCGGCAACAACAGAGGGCACGCAGATGTGGCATATGTACGCCTTGAAATGGTTGCATGTACGGGGACCTCTCGAACTCCAAAAGAGGGCTTCACTTCTCCCTACTCCCCTTGCGTGTCTAATAAAAGAGATGTAACGTCTTCTCCTTCCAAGTAAAGGACATAGACTATACGAACACACTAGTGTCAGTCCCTCGAGGGAGAGTCCAGTAGGAATGTCAGGTCGCAATGATGGGGGTGACTCCTCCAGCGACTCTGCGGCGGACGACAGAAAGAGGTCAAGAGAAGAGCTCGTGGCCCTGAGGACGCAAGTTAGCTCGCTGACGGATCAGATGAGCCAGATAATGTCGCTAGTGGAGGATACCATGAAGGCAAGCAAGAAGGAGGAGCCAGCTGGCACCATGGCGATGCTAGGGAGAGAGCCGCCGCGGAGTCCACGAACGCCGAAGGAGGGCACCGTGGACCGGGAGTGCGCAGGACGGGAGGTACCTGCGCGACCCTGTTCGAGAGTCTGGCCCGTCAGGGCGACACAGCGGCGAAGCAGGGGGCATTGTCGCCCAAAAGGTGAGAGTAGCCGCTGCTCACAACCAAGATTATAGTAGTGCCATGGGAGATGGTGGTGCTGCTGTTGGCTTTGGATACGGAGCCACAACCCCAGCGACGGGGTACCAAAGTGTGCGGTACACTTCTCCTCCGTTCAGCGGGAAATCGAAAGATTTCAACGAATGGCTAAATGATTTCCGCATGGCAGCTAATGGCGCAAACCTGTTGGAACAATTTGAAGAGAGCGGGAGCTTGGAGATCCCCGTCAACAGCGGAAAGAGCAAGTTTTCGCTGTCACAGCAGTACCGGAGCGAGCAAGTAGAGCTCGCATTTCACGCGTGGAACTTCCTGTCTCACGCGCTGAAAGACAAAGATCGGAAAATCATGAAGAAGGTAGAGACGCCCCAGGGAGCGCTTCGTGAGCTCAAGACCATACACGACCCTGAATCATCTGTACAGCCGTCAGAGGACCTCAAGTCCCTGAAGTCGACCAAGATCTCTAGAGGTGAAAACTCCCAAAACGCCCTAAATGAGATGCTCCAAACCGCAAAGTCCTTCACCGGGAAAGGACTAACTGTCAACGAAACGTTCGTCCTTCACCTCTTCCTGGATGCCCTTTCGGACGAGTATGCCATGACAAAGCACAACCTGCGACACGCGAAGGAGTTGACGCGGACCGGTGTGCTAAAGGAAGTAATGATCGAATACAAGGCGATCAAGGACAAGCTGGAGCAGGGGAAAGGAAAAGGGGCGAAGGGCGCAGAGCAAGCGTACTTCGCCGACGGTGAGGGCCGCAGGGAGCGGTACTCAAGTAGGAGTCAGGGGCAAGGTCGTGGTCGTGGCGGCGGCCGTGGCCGCAGCAGCAGTCGTGGCCGCGGCGGAGGCGGTCGCGGCGACGGCGGCGGCGGTCGCGGCGGCCGCTCAGGCGGATCCGGAGGAGTCGAGGAGAGCAAGGGAAGCAGCAGTGGAGGCGCCGATGGCGGCGGTGGCGGGGACTATTAGTTCCCGGGCCGGTGCTTTGGGTGGACATCGTGGATATCAAGCGATCGGCTGCACTACCAACGAGAAGGACTTCGTGCCGTGATGTGCGCGTNGCGCCGATGGCGGCGGTGGCGGGGACTATTAGTTCCCGGGCCGGTGCTTTGGGTGAGGACATCTTGGACATCAAGCTATCGGCTGCACTACCAACGAGAAGGACTGCGTGCCGTGGTGTGCGCGCTGCGAGGGGTGGGGCCACACCAAAGAAAAGTGCGCGACGGAGGAGGCCGTCCTAGCGCAAGTGGTGGAGCATGAGAGCGACGTGGACTCCGTGGAAGACCAGGCGTTTTGTGCCGTGGCAGTCCCCCCAGGCGAGTGTGGTACCGTTGGTGAAGTAGGTCTAGTGGGGGTTGTGGAACAAGGCCAGGCGGTGTACGTGGCCGACACAGCGGCCACGTGCTCCATGTTCCGATGTGCAGACAACTTCGTGAACTACCGTGAGCGTAGCGGTTGGGTGAAGGGGATCGGAGGCGACAAAGCTGCTGACCCAACGAGGCTGTCAAATACAGCCAACGCTACCCACCGCTTGTGCCGCACTCATTGTTCCTGGCGATGCGAAAGCAGCCAACCCCACTGACCTCAACGAGTACCACCTCGCGCATGGTCATGCCCACGAGACATCACGGCGGAGCAGCAGGGAGTACAGCTGACGGATGGACCGCTGCTACCCTGTCTTGGCTGTTCGATGTCCAAGGGACAGGTGAAACCGTCCAGAAGAGCACGAACACACGCGCAGTCAAGAAGTTCTTTCGCGTGTATCTCGACTTGGGGGGAAAGATGAAAACCAGGAGCATTGGTGGCAACTGGTACACACTGATTATCAGAGACGATTTTTCCCGTTGGACGCGTGTTTTCTTCTTGAAACACAAGTCTGACGCAGCGGTTGGATTTGAGAAGTTCCTGGCGGACTACCGAACGAAAGGGGTTCCGTGTGAGGTTTATATCGCACGTACCGACGGTGGCGGCGAGTTCCAGGGGCAGTTTCCGGAAGTTTGCCGCAGACACGGCATCAAACAAGAGTTCACCCCCCCTCACACCCCAAAATACAACGGTGTAGCCGAGAAAGCGCTAGGGTTGATCACTGATGCCGCGCTTGCGTCACGCATCCAAGCGACGCAACTGTTCCCCGACGCACCGAACCACCCCGGGTTGTGGACCGAGGCCATTTCGTGTGCATGCCATCAGCTGAACTGCACCGCCACTAAATCAAACGAGGGAGACAAATCCGCCTACGAGATGTTCCACGACTCCCCACCGCCGGTCGGGTCTACATACCCGTTTCTCAAACCAGCCGTGTTCAAGTCGAGAAGAAAAGGAAAGTCGCAACCCAAGGGCGAAAAAGGATGGTACCTTGGTCCTGCCCACAATCACCCCCATGACTGCGTTCGTATGCTAACCGAAGCTGGAACCGTAATCACCACCCGCAATTTCACCTGGCGCCACGTGCCCGCTGCATCGCCCGCTCCCCCGCAGCTGCTACCTCTCGCAGATGACGAGGAGGGCGGGGAGGGCGAGAGCAGAGCGGATGCATCACGCCAAGGTTGGGGGGGGGAGAGAGACTCAGAGAGTGAGTCCGACCTCGACGTGATGGAGGCTCGTGGGCCAGGGCAAGCGACGCCGTTTGTGCGCGAGGAGGCGCCGACGGCACCCGGCAACGGGATTCCGGGGGACGGAGGCAGCGTTCCCCCGTCGCTCCCTCCGGGAAGGGGCGACTTCGGCGAAGGCAGTGACAGCCCCACCGACAGCAGCAGCAGCAGCAGTGACGCCGGCGGTGCCGGCGGCCCGGGCGGCGAAGAGTCCGGCGACCCAGGTGGGGACAGCGGTACGCGATGGTGATCCCGGCGACTCCGAGAACCTCGAGGAGTTGAAGTATGATCCAGCCGACGACCGCTACCCCCGCGGGCTAGAAGGGAAGAAACTCCTCTGGGGCGCCTCGAACGCTGGCCCGCTGCGCCATGGGCTTGAGAGTGGCCGCACGCGGAAGCAGACCCGGGAGATGCAAGGTGCCGGGGAGATGCCGGGGCCCGGAGAAACACCGGACCCGGAAGAGGCATTGCTGGCGACCATCCTGGAAACTGGCGGGACGGGGATTGTTGAGGACTACATCTGCAACTCGCTTGTGAAGGAGCAGTGGGACGAGGAGCAGACACGCCGTATGGAGGAGATGTACAGGCGCGAGATGCAGGAGGTGTTGGGCCCGGAACAGCAGGCGTTCGGGGCCGAGGTCGACGCCAGCGGGTCTTCGCAACCACTCCCAGACCCACAGCTAAGTATGACCTCGCCAATCGGGCAGAAGCCGAGTGATGTGGAAGCAGTACCGATGACGTACAGGGATGTGATGTGTTCTAAGTACAAGGTTTTCTGGGAGGCGGCCATGAAGAAAGAGATAGATGGCCACGACAAGACTGGAACCTTTACCAAGGTCAAGGAGCTGCCCGAGGGGCGGAAGGCCATAGGTTCAAAGTGGGTGTTCTCTTGGAAGACGAATGAGAAGGGCCTGATAGTCGACTTCAAGGCCCGTATGGTTGCGCGGGGTTTCTCTCAAATCCCCGGCATCGACTTCTACCACTCATCCTCAGCATGCCCGTCTGCAGCGTCTATCAAGACGGCGATTGCCGTAGCCACTGAAAAGGGCAAGAAACATGCTCACTGGGATGTGAAGCAAGCGTACATCCACGCTAAGCAAAAAGAAGAAATATACCTCAGGTTCCCGGAAG